GTTTGTAAAACGATATCAAGCTAAGAACTACGCAACCTACAGTTCAGTTTAGCTCTAAACTGAACTGTAGGGATAATTAGTTAGTAAGTAAAATATTCGACCCCTCAACGGGTATCGATCGTAAGGAAATCGTGGAATGCGTCTTTAGCTAATCATGAGACAATTAATATCTATAAATTAAGCGCATTCTGTGTAATGATACGGTTATTACTATAGTATATGCGAAACAATTTTTATTGTTTTTTTGAATATGTAAAATATTTTAAATATTGTAACTGAATTATAATTATTTTCAATTTGATCTTTGATTTGTATTTTAATATATTGTGCTTTGGTTTATTTATCATCAGTTTTTTCTTAAAATTCTTTCATTTGTTCGTTTGCACAATGATAAGAATTTGTGAACATTTTGTCGGTATTTCAGGTCACGGGCTACAAAAGTCCGTAAGATGCAATGTCTATTCATATATGTATCTTGTTTGTGACCTCGTCTGGGCTAGTGATTTTTTTTTCCTGGTATTTGAAGCCCTGAGACAGGAAACCCCATTTGATGTCTGGTCTAATTAGTCAATGCTTATAGTATATTTTAATGCTTAAATTTCTTGAAATTATTCTGAATATATTTCTTGAGATTATTCCACAACAATCTTTAGAAATTAATATTTCATTACCTTATGATTTTACTTAATTTTTTGTTTTTGCTAGTATTATTCACTTTAATTGTTTATATATTTATATTTCTATATTAAAAATACCATTTCATCATTAAGAAAATATCAGCTATTTTCATTAATCTTAATTATTTTTCAAGTAATGTTCATTCCATAATTGGCAATTTATAATAAAATAGATATATAATTTTTAATAAATTATTAATTGTAGTATGATAATTGTTTGTATATGTACACTTATGCACTTATATGCAGAATTTCTAGTACTTGTTTCATGCTCTGAGTGTACTTACTTATCTCTCTGTGATATATGTTTCATCCTCCACGTGTGTTTTTAGTTATGTTGTTTGTGGTTATGTAAATTTAAAAATTATTATTAATTGTATACAACGTTAGTGTAAAAACTATGACAAAAAAGAAACATAATTTAAGTGGCTGGAAACCACTGAAATTGGAAGGTTCTATATTTTCTAGTAATGTTGAAGATTTAATTGGTATTGAGGAATTAACTGAATATAATTTGGAAAAGGAAAACAACAAGACAAAGATTGTAATTTGCAATGAGGAAAGCAATAACAAGAAAGACACGGTAAATTAATGTAATAAACTTTGGTATATTGGTTGTATTATGGTATTGTATGGTTGTATTATTTACTTTGTAGGTACCACCAAAGGGTAAACGTTCCAATGTATGGTTAGAAAATAATATAGACGTTAATGAACCATTATTAAAAAAAGCTAAAAAACTAATATTTAAAGAAAAAAAATTAAAAAGAAAAAATGATAAAAAAGTATTAAAATGTTTATCTTCAAAAAATGATATAGACACTAATTCTAATAACAATCAATTTTCTAATGAACATGATGATGAAAAAAATGATATATATGACAATGATTCTCAACAATGGCATATATTAGGTGTACCCACTCCTATAATTAAGGCATTAAAAGATCAACAATTTTATAAACCAACTCATATTCAAGCATTAACTTTACCTCCAGCAATATTGGGTCATAGAGACATATTAGGTGCAGCTGAAACAGGTAGTGGAAAAACATTGGCATTTGGAATTCCAATTATAAACGGTATTTTGAAATTAAAAAATAAGGAGTTAGACATGAAATTTGGGAAGAAAACGAGTGAAATTATTGAGAATAAAGGTTGGATTTGTTCTGAAAACGAAATGATAGAAAATGATAATAGCTCATCTGAATCTGATTATAAAGAAGATGTTGAATATTTTAATGAAAATAATATAGGTTGTGTACGTGTAATTAATAATGTAAAAATGAATGAAACACAAAATTATATGAAGCCACTCTATGCATTAATATTAACACCAACTCGTGAATTGGCTATTCAAATTAAAAATCATTTAACTAAAGCAGTCAAATATACAAATATTAAAGTAAGTATTTAAGAAAACATTAATAATAAATAAATTCTGGAAATTAGTACTCATTACATTAAGTATTGATTATTTAGATAGCTGTAGTATTGGGAGGAATGGCTGCAGTTAAACAAGAAAGAATATTAAGTAAAGAACCTGAGATTGTAATTGCTACACCTGGTAGATTATGGGAATTAATACAACAAGGAAATTCACATCTTAGCAAAGTGGATTGTATTAAGTAGGTTTCATTTGTTTTTTTTCTTTTTTTTTTATGAAATAATTTTCTTAATAATAATTTTGCATATTTTAAATACATATTGAAATAATGTTTTATATGTATTAAACAATGTGAAACAGGTATTTGGCTATTGATGAAACAGATAGAATGTTAGAAAAGGGACATTTCCAAGAATTGCAACAATTACTAGAAAAAATAAATACAAATGAAAGAAAAATGAGAGAAAGGCAAACATTTGTATTCTCTGCTACATTAACTATGGTGCATGATATTCCAGAATATTTAGAAAAGAAAAAAAGGAAGCATAGTAAAAGTAGAATACAAAAACTTACGCCAGATCAAAAATTACAAAAAATTATGGAATTGGTTGGAATCAAAAACCCAAAAATTATTGATGTCACTAAAAAATCAGGTTGTGAATTTTTTTAATCAAATAATGTTAATAAAAATTAAACATTATTTTA